TTCGTGGCAAATAGAGAGATAGCCGGCCGTCACGTAGAAGAGTTTCCTGATATATAACAATCCAACGCGAGAGCGAGGGGCCGAAAGAATGAGAAGAAAGAAGCGAAGGGCGCGTGTAACTGGGCTGTATCGTGAAAGTCGAAAGGGAAGGTCCACGAGGCGGCCACGAGGGTGGAAAACGGACGGCTCTGTGTGTGCGCGACACGTCGGAGGGAAACGCGCGCATACACAGCTGTACGTATATGTGTACGTGGTCTCATGCACGTTGCAATGCGAGCGTCTGCGTGTACAATACGAGAGAAAACGAGAATCTCTTTCTCTCTCGGACAGCCCACGCTTGCGAACGAAAGCACAAGGGAGAGTAAGCTCGGTCACTGAGGCGTCGCCACTCGGCTTGCTTCTCCTCGCGAGAGTGAAGACTTTTCTCCCTCCCCTCGGGTCATCCAAACCCCTACCATTTCTATTTTATCCCTCCTCGACGTCCTCGGTCTTCGTCTATTTTCTCTCTACTCGCCTTTTCTCCTCTTGATATCCTCTTTTCCCCGCGAAAACGACCCTCGATGCGATCCTCGTAATTGTTTGATGGTTGCAAAACTGAGATCTCGTTTCTCAGACGTCATCTTAGTACATGACCGTCGCGCAATAATTACATAACGATCTTAAAACACTTTACGCTTTACTGTATATATAACATCTACGGCTATTTTTCATATTTTATCAGCGATATACAAATCTCTTTTTACCGTAAAGATAAAATTACTCCATTATTAAAGACAAGACAGATACGTGGCTTGTGAAAAAGCACACGTACGAGGCGAAAAATGAACGTGTACATTATCTCCGACCGAATAAGAACCAAGATAACGCTAAGACCGCGAAAAACGGCCATTTTTATTATTGTTATACTACTCCAGTGAATAATGCATCGTGGACGCTCACGGAGTGACTGAAATCGTCGAAACGTCATTCGGTACGAGGGCCGGCACAGGTGCGCGTTGCAGTTGCAAAAACTTCGTTACGAGGAAATGCAAACAATGCTCGGCTTCAAGGTACAGCTCCGTTCTTTTCTTTGGGCCTTCGCGCGCAATTCACCCCACCGTCCTCCTTTTTCTCCTTTTTATTCCACGTCGGGCTTTATACACGCGCGAGTATCGTCCGCCTTATGCAAATTCGCGCCCTCCCAAGCTTTCGCCTTTCCGCCGCGCCTACGTTTCTTTCCTTCGGTTTGCAAAACCTCGGTGGCGCGACACCGCCAATTACACCGTCGTAAATCGGCCCGCCAATTTGTCACCCGCAATTCGTCCGTCTGAATTTCAGCGTTTCCTTATCGCGCGTCACCCCGACGACGTCCTTACCGCTTAAGCTCGCTCTCTCGTGATTTCGACGCGAGGGAAAACGAAGGTCTCCCTCGAGCGACAGCGGCCGAGAAGGCACATGAGCTTTAATGCATTTTTTCCATTCTCGCCGGGATCGTTGCCAAACGAACATTACTTTTCGCATATACGCAGCATAGAGATTCGGAGCGACGCCGAAATTACATTTTTATTTGACGCGAATCTTACGATATTGCCCAATTTACCATTTATAATTTGTCGTTTCTATCCTGCGAATATTGTCGCAGTTGCGATTATTAGCATTCACGAGCAGATTGAATTCCTTTTCTACGAGCTTTGACTTGTATACGAATTTTTTTCTGTCGTACGCAAGCGAACATCTGGCGGTCTGTTAATGTTGAGCATGCCTAGACCAACACGACGGCTAAAGATTCAAGCGTGGCTTACGAGGTAAAGCAAATAAACAGGAATTAAATCTGGAAGGCTTTAATCGTGGCGCAAAGATTCGAAGATTACTATGCGGATTTAGCGCGGCGCGCAAATGAGACCGAGGGAAAAAATATACGAGCCGAGAAATGCTTAAATAAATTCCGAGAGATAGAAGATTGCAAAATGCATTTAAAATTATCCGATAATTACGTCGATTGTTTTTTTTTCCCCGTGAAAAGATAATTCTGACTACTCTTCAATATTTAATTCCGTGACGACACATCGCAAGAGTGATATTTTACGATCATGTTAAAGAAATATATATCAACGCTGGACCGTCGTGTATGTGGCAAAATTGAAACAACACATATATACGCCTATTAAATATAGCGTTCAAAGAAGGAGCGGGATCTGAATCATCGGACGTGTATGTATAGCAACAAGTTTGACACGCCACGTCAAGCCGCGCGTGAAGTATTACGGAAACGACCGGAAGCCGGGCTGCCCGAATACTTTCTGTCTCTTTTCGTTTCTTGCGTGCGCGTGAACAGGCACGCCTGCGCACGTGCAACGATCGCTTCCGCAGTGAACGCGAGCTAAGTATAGACGGTGGCTGGTCGGCGGTATTGTTATTGCTTGCGCAGCAGCACCGCTCTCGGCTTCGGGATCCCCAGTGTTTATGAAGGGTCCGTTGCTCGGCCGAATTATGGCCTCAGGTGTATGCGGATATTACGATTCCGGGTACAAGCGATCGGTAAATGATCATCCTAAATGCGCATATATGTATAAACGTAATCAAAGCGGACGGTTGAGCGCGCTTGGAAAGAGAGTCCAAGAGATATCCCAATGAATGAAATCGACGTCTCGAAGAAAGCTGCTCGTGGAACTGCTTGTAAAACCACCTCCTCGGTGAATGTAAGCGCCAGATTAAGATTTGCATAACCGTTTCATCCTCCGGCTCAAATGTTTTAATGATGGTTGATCGGACGCGGCCTATGCATACATAGTTCGACGCGTTGCATAACTTTATGCGATTTTACGTTAAGACATCTGGTAATGACTGAGCTCGATGATGAAGTCGAAATAACGAAAATTGAGAGATTCTAGCTTGATGCTAGCTCTACGCGTTTCTCAAAGTCAAAACCACACAAACCTTGAACGAGAACATCTGTTTAAATATTTTTCTATCTTATCAGGTAAATGCGATAGAGGAATAAATGTACGTTGATGGTCCGACAAGAGTCAAAGGCAACTGTTTACATATACGCTACGCAGCTAAATATCGTAAAATCCAAAAGAATGTCTTTTAAGTATAATAATTCGCAAGTTTTTAATTTTATTTCGTCAATATATAATATATAATTAAAAATCTCTTTCTCCGATGCATTGTCATTTTAATCAGCAGACATGTTACTTATCGCGATGCTGTTGAAATTCTAAATTTCGATTAGAGTTTTAAGTTAGCACAGTAGAACAAGAACGATACATATTTTTCTGTCGTCGAATTGTGAACTAAACCGCGCAATTTCGGACGAAGCGGTTTTACCGCGACGCATTTATCACGGGGAATCGGACGTGCAGATTTTTTTCAGATATATCTCGCAAGCGGCCAACACGCGGAAACCGCGTGCACACGAAAAAAAAAAATAAAAAAAAGAATGTATGCGCGCGTATGTGCGTCTGCCTCTTCATAAAGTCATAACTCAGCCCGGTATCCCCGGCAACGCATCCCTCGGCATAACATTTAAAACGATTTCCGCTGGCAGCCGTGCCAAGATCGTAGCAGCGTTGTTTCGAGGATAGATTAACGAAACATAACGCCAGTACTCGCTACGGACTTCTAAGGGGTAACACGGATAATGGGAAGGGGCGTGTTGGCACCGCTCTGGCAGTTAAGCAGCATTCAGTGCCGGCGATGCCGCAGCTCGGGGCCACAATCGATGAAAAATTTCGGGAGTTTCGCCCGTTATCTTTCCGAAAAAGATTTTCAACGCGCGAAGAGACCTAGAAAAGTTACGTATACGTATATCGCGAAGGATATTTTTAAGATAAACTACGAAATCCGTATGTTCCCGGTAAAGAGAATAGCGTGTGTTAATATACGGGGCCGCGGAGTATCACGTATTATGGACGCGATAAATGTCCGGCGAAAATCTCTCGGACGTTCGTATAGAAGATATCATAATTCTCTAACATTGTGCGAGACGGTAAGCTGTGCCGAGTTAGCGACTCGGACGGCAGGGAATAATGGGGGAGTACGTCCAACGTTATTTACGACATTACTCGTCATAAATATGGAGGAACCACCACCATCTTTCTCCCCGTGTCGTTCGATTACAGTGAAATACAGAATTCCTCTCGCTCTTCTCTTCCTCGTAACCTTGAAGCGACTTTCGCTAGTCGCGCATTTCATTGAAAAAGAACCGCCAAATTTGATGTCACTGAAGAAATAAGGGAAGTAAGAATGGTCCCTATATCCGGCCCTGGCATTTTCACAGGACTTTTCGGACAGAAAGTCCGATGATACATCGCGTCAGTGCCATCTCCTCGCCGCGGATTCGCGCTCCTTCCCTTTATATATCTCTTTCCCTCCTAAAGGGGGCTTTCGGCGTTAAGAGATTAACTCGTCACTCGTCGGGCCATTTTAATATCCCGGATCGCGGACGTGGCAAATCGCCGAAATTAGTCGGAGAAACGACGGCATACGGCATCCGACGACAATAAGTATCCGTTACTGTCGCTATTCGTGTCGTTTTTTTTGCACGCGAATTACTTCTCGATTAAAAATTATAGCGTCTGTCGCCCGAGTCGATGGTCGTTCCATGAGGTATCGCAGAAAAATCGAGACTGAATAAATCGATGCTTTGAAATCTCGCCCGCAAACTTGGAGCTCTTCCAGCGGTATCTCATATCGCAAAACGAACGCAACATCGATCTTGACAGCTAATTCCCGCGTATTAAGGTATTCGATGACGCCAAACGATTTTCGATTACAATATCGACATTCGAAATATCGTGCATATAACCCGACGAAACCTCGCGATTGAGAAAAATATATCGTCCCTTCACAGAGTTCAGTGTTAGAAACCAGTATGATGGATTCCTACGAGGGAGCGCTTATTAAGGGAGACTAAGATAAGATTTCTTGGGAGTGAGGTGAGCGCGACACGAAACGAGGTGGCATTAGAGGAGCACAATTGGCTGAAAAGTAAGTAGGTAAACGTTGTAAACACTCACCCCTGGCAAAGTCCGCTTCTCATGCAGAGCGTCCTGGGCGCTGATTGCGCTGTCACGGCTGTAGTAGGTGAGGAACGCGCAGCCTGTAACGAAGAAAAACAGAACCCTCTTATCTCGGGAAGATTAACTACGGTTCGCCGCTACGACGATATATAGCATGGTATATATGTGTGTATATATCATACAGCTCTGTGCTCTTACCTACTCCTTTATCATAAAGGCATCGAGAGTCGCGACGCGACGCAAGGCACGCGAATTTCGGAGAGCGAGGTATATACACACACATATATATATATATATATATATATATATATATATATCGCATAAGAGAGGGATATTAACCGGGCGTACTTGCGGGCGGTCGGCTTATCGGCGGTCGCGGCCCTCGGTAAAACGAAAAGCTTTTTGCACAGTACAGGAAGTTGAGAGATCCGTCGAAATAAAAGTTTTACGCGCCGCTCTTCCGCATCAACTAGCGCAGAGCGCGCCGACTCTCGTAAGGTCGATCATGGATACGCGATCTCTCGCCGTACTCGCACCGCGAGTATTACGTGACGCAAGTCGATACGTTACCGTAATTAGGTAGACCGCGATGCAAAGTTCTCGCTGCGTAATTGCCGACACACACACACACACACACACATGCATATGTACATAACACACGTTCGTGAAACTTTTGCGCCGCGCGATCTTTATGACGCGCGACGAGGACCGGAGCAAGACCGGTTATTTCACTCGGGAGTGCTTCGCGCCGGAAATACTTACGAATCTTACGCAGTTACGAATCGACTGGATTCTTTGAAGCCGCGTGCGCGTGTCGTTTGCGCGAAAATAAACGTGACGTTTCGGAACCGCGCGCGGTTCCGCGACACACACACATAAACCTCGTTCTCGTTCCGTCTCACCGATTCTAGGCCCCGCGAGTCAACCGTTGACCGAGATTCCGGCCATAGAGATTTTTTTGCGTCAACAACAAAGAAAAATAATTTCCCTCCACGAGGAAATTCATCAGAGCCCCGCGACGCGGTTGTACGATTCTCCCGCACGATACACCGTTCCCGGTAAAACACGTCGCTTAATCGCGCCCAACGAAACACTCGTTATAGCGAGTCCACTATACGCTATCATCTTCGTCAGATAGTAATATCGATGTAGCAACGGAAACAACCCACCCACACCCTCGAACGTCGCGCTCACGCAAGCCTCGCGCAACGTTAGAATCAGCCCCGTTATCTCGCGCTCTGATATAAATAGCCCTGTATTAGTCGCGCACTTCAAAAGTTCATATGCTGCTTATCCGCAACCGTAAAATTGTGTACAAGCTTATAATTTATACAAAGGGCTTCTTATCACGTCAATTACAACTTTGGCGAAGGTCGCATATTGCTGCAAACTAATATTTGCGACTTTATCAAATATGTAGTTTGCGCTTTAAAATGTAGAAAGAGGAGGAGAAGAAGAATGTATATTAAAGATAATTGATATCCATAATAAATGAAGTCATAATAAAAACTTCATATATCGCGGAAGGCATAAAGTAAAAATGTCGAGAAATAAATATCTGTCCTCGTAGAATCAATTATGTATGAGACTACATTTGGTTTAAGAAATGGCGCCGATATCGCGGTAGGTTAAAACGATGGTAATTAACCCGAGAATTGGACGGTGCCTGAACCAGACCATTATCGGCTATCGCACTGTCGAGCAAACCCCTTGGGACCGCCTTCCTATCGGTCTGAGGATTTATTCAAAGGGCCTCTCGGTCCTATCTGATCATCATTTGACTATCTCAACACACCGAGATGGATGTAAGCAAGCACGCGCGGCGCAAGAACCGCGGACAGACCTGGGAGAGCCAGGATTGTGCAGGTATTTATGACACGACTCTATCAGCGTAACTCTGTCACTTACAGAATTCATTAAACTTGCATAATCACTCGCGGAAAATTCACTCGCATTTTCGTAATCGCGGCTTTAATTTATCCCACCCAAATGCATTTACACGCAAATTTCTTACTTTTTCATAATTATTTCTCTCTTATTACAGTTATGCGACAGCATATTTTTAATATGCTAATATCTCGCAACTGCAATTAGATGTAGCATTTAATGCGACATTGTGCGGGCTCTTTTTTATACTTAATTCTTATTAATAATTTAATTACTCTAAAATACTAAAAGTCCAGTAATTAGTTATGTAAGCCGTATAATAATCAACCTTTACTTAACGAATATCTCGCGTCCGCAAATTTTAAATTTCAGTTATACTGTTTTACGAAAAGGATATCCCTGGAACATTTTAATCTCGTACGAGGATTTCGATAACGTAGTTTCATGACGATGGCGAGAAATGCAGCGGCATGCGGCGGGCGATTTCACTCCGCGAAGAGTCACGTCGTGCAGACGAGAAAACGAAGAGGTAAGAGAGACGCGCACTTGTAATTTTTCATGCGGCACGTCGCACGCGCGTCCAGAGATCGTTCGATTATCTCCGGCACCGCAGTACGTCTCATTCGCACGTAGAGCGTTCTCCAACCTATATCCCGCGGATAAGTCCGCGTAAAAAGCTCTATCGCCAAAGAGAGAGAGAGAGAGAGAGAGAGAGAGAGAAACTAAGGCTGAGAATGGAACGCTCCGGCCGTCGTTCTACGTGAAAGTTCGCGAGAGATTGTAACCCCTGCGGCTGGTCACGCTGAGGATATACTCTGCTCTCGATGTACAGATACGGGGAATCGTGGCCGCTCGTTGTATAACCGGCCAGCTGTATTTCGAAAATGCCCGAAAATATTTATAAACATATAGCGAGCGAGCTTATCTTAATTGCATTGGGACGCGGCTCTACTACTGTTTCCCCGCAGCCGGCGGGAATAGAAAACTTCGCCGCGGCGGCAAATCGCAAGCCCCGCGGGCCACCACGGGGATGAATTAGCTCCCAGCGATGCGCGACAAGAACGGGGACAATCGTTTTCTCGCCCGAGTCTCTTCTGTCGGTTTTTTCGGTTAAATTCAATCTACGAGCGGCGCGATATATGGTTGACCCGAGAAGAAATAAGACGCTTCGCGAGTAGGAAACGCAGTAAACAGTAATGAATAAGTTTGACATATAGGGAAAAGATAGAGAGAGTTTGATTTCGGATTCTACTATTTTACTCTATTACCAAACTCGCTTTTGAGGTGCCTAAATTCGAATTGGAACAGCCCGGATACTGCGAATGCAAAGAACAGCTTTCAGATAATCGAGCTTTTATGTATATAACTACATCTTTTCGTAGTTTTTGGAATATTTACTTTTATATATCTGTCACAGACTCTTTGTAAGTTGAACTTTTTTACAAAAAACCTAGGCCTTTATAAAACGCCGACTTACAAAGATTTGGCGCTTCATAAAAGAGCCAAGCCTTTTCGTAGAAAGACTGATTTTCACAGAAAGCCTGCAATATATCTACGTATTTATTGGGATATTGATTTTTGTGTGTATATATATATATATATGTACGGAAAAAAGGTCCAAGGTTCTCTACATTTTTTTCGTATTTCTCTGTTTCGGTTTTGATCAAAATGAATATAAATATTATGCCATCATCATAATCTCATTTTTCACAAAACTAATATTTATTTCCCTCCCTTTGTAACTTTATGTGACATAGCATAGTTAACATAGTTGGTAACGTAGTTAGTGTAGCATAGTTAAAACTTGTATATCTCTCATACATGACCCATAAAAACTTGTAGGAAAATACGTGGACGAATATAGTAGAGATATATCGTGTACGATCCTCGCTGTCTCTTTCTATTGCGTTCAATTCGCCTGATGCGTTGCAACGATGCGACCATATCGAATAAATGGTTTGATTCGAGTATCCGTTGTATTCATAGCCTCCGGAACTTTGAATATTATGTTCGCGTTTCAATATCATGACGAGAGATAAAGCGCATTAAAGTTTGCGGAAATAGCATTAATTAATAATTCGTGTTTACTGGTGCAAATTTCCAGCAGCGACATGATCCAGGGCGTCTCTGTGAGACCATAAAAATAAAAATAGAAGATACTCACGTATATATTTCACGGTTGACACGTATACCATGAAGTATACATGATCGTTCTTGATGGGATGCAAGAGAGATTTTTTTTAATTGCGCTCATGAGCAACAACTTTAATACATCCCAACCAAATTCAGAAAATTTTATAATAGCAATTATGCATAAAAATCGCTTTATAAATCATCATAGTTTATGGTTGCAACGAACAAGAGAGCAAATTTAAAAGTATCATATTTCGTTGCCCTCCTTATCGCATCGCTCTGCTACTTTGAAATTTATATTGTCACGGCGCAAACTTATTCGAGACAGGAGCAATCAGTAAACTTTCTCGCATAAACTTGACATCGTTAGAATACAAAATATAAAAAGCGTAAAAACAAGGAAATATATGAAGAGATAAAGGAAATATATGTTGAAAAATATTGCAAAAAACGTGAAAGTTGAAAAACGGCATTGGTATCGTAAAAATATTGTTGCCTAAAATAAGTTCCGTCTTTACATAGAGCAATTAACGCGATTATGCCGCGACACCTCCACATCTCGTTCTCGATACAGTAGTTATGCCGCGTCTGGCGGGTCTCGTATCTGCAATTACGATAAGGCTTACGATTAGCCTGACAGCGAAGCGTCGAGTGGCATTGCCTCGTGCAAATTGCAGTTGAAGCAACTATACGTTCGCCGCATCGGTGATGTAGGAACAATTCGCTGATTCGAGATAATGAAACAGCTTGTCATCGGGTATGCGCATAGTCACTTGCGTGCAACGATGAAGTTTCGTCGTGTACAACTTTATGCATACAAATGTACGGGAGGCGTGCGAATGTACGACAATACAGATAAGCTAATCGGCAAATCGGTAAAGAGAGATTTGTTCCCTATATCGCTGTATTTTTACAAAACGTAAAACAAAAATATGACAATGAGTAAATCGCATTGAGCGTTCGGTGCATCTCGTATATTGTCCCCATTGATGCTTAATTTTCATAAATATTGTTAAAAATAATTATATTAAATAAATCAATCAAGATTAATCTATCTTCG